ACAAACAGGAAAAAAAATATTTAATCCATATTCTAATTGAAGAATTAAATGATATGCAATCAATAACTTTAGATCCTCTCCATGTTAGATTATTTTCATACACAACAAAGTATATCTTAACATTTAATCCAAATTATGGATATTTTGCGAAAACATTATTTACGACCAAAATTAAGAGACTTTGTTTTGTTGTTTGACAAAATGTAAAATTTACTTGATATCATTGCTTGCAGAATTGTTAAATTGTAGCTTTAAAAATGTAGAAAATAAGAAAAAATATTTCCGTTTGGTTTAGTTTATCCGTGTAGTGATATAAAAGACTTTCTCAAGAAGTTTTATTGTATATAAATAAAAGAGTACAAGATTTTAACAATGCCATTAAAACTTCAAAATGTATCTAAATGGACTTCATTATTCAGGCTGCTTTAATCTACATCAGAAATAGTAAACTGCAAAAGGAAACAACTATGATTGCCAGATTTTCTCCACAACCAAAGCCAAAACACAGATTTTATGCTCCTTTTTCTGCCTAGGACAATCTTATGGTATACAGAAGACTCAATTGATTTCATTGCCTCTCCACTCATTTTTAAGGTGGTCAGTGTTGATTTTTAACAGATACTATTTTCTTAAAGAAAAAAAAAATGTCAGTTTGCATTAATTGTCAATATTTTCTGAAGCGTTTTTCTTAGGAATGGAAATCAGACAATTAAAAAAATTGTTGAGTATAAGTACAATTTGTTAAATACAATTTCTGCAATAAAATAAAAAAAAAATGTTCATGTTTATTGTTGCAGGCATCAGACAGATTTTAAAAATAATTAAATAAAAAAATGGCCACATTAGTTTACTAACAAACTTGTTTCATTTCTTAGTATTTTTTTAAGAATGAAACAAACTTGATATCTTGGACATAGTGGTGACCCACACACAGTGTCAGTTTGACATTCTTTTATCCAAAGAGGAACAAAGTTATCCTAATGGCACAATCAATTTCATTTAAAGTTATTTCATTTTTCAAATACTAAAACATATTTATTTTATATATAAAATTTATAATATTATCTTGGGCTTCAAATAATCATTTCAGAAACATACTATTCAAAACGGTAACATTATGAACCTAACAGCAAAAAAATAGTCAATAACAAAATTAGCTATGCATTTCAGTTAATAGCTAATGGCATAACCATTTTGGCCAATAACTAAGTAAACATTTTCGATAGTAACAAACCAACTACATAATTCTTTCAGCATATACTTTCATTCTTCAAAAGCAAATCATTCTAACTTTATTAAATTTTAGTGTTGTCTTGTATGAAGCCTAAGTTTTTGCCATAGATTTTCTATTGGATTCAGGTTCAGATACATTGCATGTCAAGGTAAGATACTGATTTTGTCTTTGAGACAATTTTTCAGTGCATTTGTATGTTCAGACTCATTATAATCTTGGATAGGGAAATGTCATATTCTAAAAAAGTAACTAGCAGAATCTTTCAGATTTTCCTTTCAAATATCATGGTACTGTTCTTTTCCATGGTTCAGCTGCTTTTAAACAAATGGTCCATTCAATTTCCACTACAACACTCCCAAAGCACAAGATTGCCACCAACCCCAAATTTTACATTAGAAATGATGATCCTTGGATTCATGGCTCCACAAAGTTTCTAACCAAATAATTCTCGTCTCATCACTCCATAAACTTTTTAAAAAAGTAGGCATGTACATATTCCAAACAAGCCTTTCAATGATGACTTTTGAACAAAAGTGTTTTTCTTGGATATTGAGTACTGAGAACATGTTTATTGAGCACACTTACTTACAACATGATACATTTACTCCATTGTTTGACAAATCCAAAACTATATTTTTCTGCATGACTTTTCTTGCATTCAAAAAAAAAAAAAAAAACACTTTCTCTGCAATCAGAGTTTAGAATTACAATCCCTTTCAAAAAGAGTTGCAACAATTGTCTCATGATATTTTTCCATAATATACTATACAGTTGATTTGGTAAATGAAAACTACTTAGCTGCATGTCCAAAACTCATTCCAGAATTGCAAGTGTTCATACTTCATGGTTTTAAATCTAGACAAATCTTCAGCATGTTGTTGATGTCCAGTTTGAAATGAACAATGCATGTGTTGATTACAGGAAACTTAAGTTCTTCTAAAAATTTACAATTCCCAGAAACAGCTTAATAGACTACCTCAACAGAATATAAATATATTTTCTGAATTTTTTATAATTACAACCATTTTTTGGTATTTGAATAGTTTTTTTCCTGGTTTTGGAGTTCAGGCCAAGCTTAGGCCTGCTACTGGTAACATGAAACCTTGTACAACCTGCTGCATGGATGGCTGATTGGAATCAGAGCCAGCTCCTCCACTAGCTTTTCTACTGGTAAGGAGAGTGGCCTATCACCCAACAGGATAAAAAACAAGACCTATCACAGGGTGGATGGCTTATATATACACACACACACTATATATATATATATATATATATATATAAGGCTAGAATAGGATCTCAAAACTTGAATGACAACTTTTCTAGAGATAGTGTCTTGATAAAAACAATCAGTATACATAGACTATAATGAGTATCTGAGTTGGGCATCAGGAAAAGCATCTTGTAAAACCATGCCTTAAATTATTACGACCCACCTTGCTTTGTGTGAGATTAATCCTAGTCTGACCCCAGCAAAAAAGACAGCTATGTATGTATGTATGTGTGGCCAAGTGCTGTATTAATAATGCTATGGTATTAAATATTTCTGAAATAGATTATGAGTATTTATTTAATGCCTAAGATCATATTCTATCTGTTATATATTAAAAACAAAATCAGTTTCAGTATTTAGAAAGTGAATTATATTATTTTAAATGAAACTTATTGTACTATATAGATAATTTTATGCCTCACTTTATAGAGAACTGATACACATTGTATTTGAATTTAAATCACTAGTTCATTGCTTTCAAAAGTCAGAAGCAGTGAAGCAAACATCTTTCATCATGAATTAAATCATATGTTGCATAAAATAGAAAGAGAACACAGACAGTAGGTCAATGTATACCCTATCCTTTATAAGAGATGAAGATTGAAAATCAGGATTAATAATCAATATAAAAGGATATGTTTCACAAAAGATTTACAAACTTTACACAAAATGTCGAGCATCATAAAGAAAAAAGCACGACCAAAAACTGTGTCTATGATATTTAATGCAATTTTAATAAGAAATATGAAGGTGAAAGTAGCTGGTCCCTAATAATTAAAATAGAACATAAACAAATTCATAATTTTAAAATATCATTGACATGGCCAAACCTTTAAAGAAATGAAGCCAAAATAATAGAACAGGAACTTTACTAGAGAGGAGCACATATAGTGAATGAGGCTGTATACACGGGTCTAACAAAAGATTACAGAAATAAAGAAAATTCAAAAATGCACTGAAAAATTAACATAGGTTGATCTACTTATTACAAGTAGTTTTTCACCACAGAAACTCAACACTTTAATCCCTTAGGGAATTAAAGGACTACCTCTCAGAGATCATATCACTATGGCACTAAGATGAGTACATCCTGGTGCCTGCAACATCTATATAAATCAAATAAACCATATTATATTTGCACATGTAGACATGCAAAATAATATAAATTCCTGTCTACTACTTTCAGAGTGAAGGAAAGAAAACTACTAGAGATATTATACAACTAAAAAAATATTTGCCAAAATGTAATGATAAAAATATCAATTTTGTTAGAACCATTGAAAGTGCAATTAAAAATTCAGGTTTGATTCACACACAAATAAGAAATAAATGAGCAAAAAATGTGTGACTTCATATATGGGCTTTTTTTTTTACCTAACAGTTACTCTTAAAATAAAATAAAATTTAAAGTAAGGAAGTATGAGTTATGTAGAGAATTTATATTTGTAAAGAAATGTTGACATTGATAGTAAAAAATCTATTTCAATTTTTGTCACAAATCCCTTAATATATAATTGCCAATTCAAATTTTCACTATAGTTCAGTACACACTTTATAAATTTACTCTATATTCACAGAGATTAAGCATTGAAATAAAAGAAACTTACTGATTTCACACTATTCATGAAGATAAAACTTTCTTCCAAGTTGGTACTTATGTAAATTGTACAAATTACTTAAACAGAACAAAATATAAAATTAATAAATTTTGCTATTTTGAACTTTCATTAAAATTATTTAATAAAACTGAATAATACAAGATAGCTATCATAAAGATTATGCTAATTTCAAAGAAACTTGAGTAAAATAAAAAAAGGCAATATTAGAGTGGATTGTTAGCTGAAAGAGATTATATACAGAATCTAGGATCATTTTTATTTTCAACTTTTCTTTGAAAATTTAGAAAATAAACACTGGAAATACTAATATACATGGAATTAATGTTTAAAAAAATGAAAAATCTAATGTTCCAAATAACTGTAAAAAATATTTCAGCAGTAGATTTTTTTGAAAATTTATGTAAACAAAAATGACAGACAAGCTATTTCTTTTCACATGAAAACAATTTAACTATTTTAAACACATCTTTTGTGTCATAAGTGATATAGTTTGGCATGCTAGTGAAGTGTGGGTAGGAAATATGACAGTGAAACAAAATATAAAATTAAATTTATACAAATTTAGATTTAAAAAGTCTTTAAATGTTCAATTTGAAAAGTGGCAGCAGTTCCTCAAGTGCCGTATGGCCAGTAATTTTACATGATTTATGTACAAATGGAAAAAAAAAAATTTCATACCAAGGGTAAATTTTGAAAACATTAAAAGTGATATTCAAAAATGACACAGGTGGGTGGAGTTGGGTGGGGGTGAGGTGAGGGACCTTAAAATGAGATTCATTTTAAGTTTAACACAACTCCTTACAGAGTGTGTTCAATATCACTGATGCTACACACTTAAATACTGTCACATATCGATGCAGCATGCACAAATTTGGCATCATGATGAACTGAAATCAAGATTTGTTTTTGTGGTGTTTGTTATTTTCTTGGGTAGTGTCAGCAGAACTTTCCGACAGTGTTTTTCTGCTTTCAAAGCCACATGAGCATTGTTTTCAGGTATATCTGGCCGATCACATTGAACTTGATCCAAATTGTTTAATTTCTCATCATTCTGTGGCAACATCAGTAGCTGCTCCTAAAATTTATTGAGAAGAATTATTTAGTTTATATGAAAGCAAAAAGACAATGTAAATGTGAAGTTCACAAAATCACATACAGGTTGAAATGTTAATTTATATCCTTTATTTATACTTTCTTTTTAAACAAGAAAATCAGTTCCCAAAATGTAATTCTATTAAAGAATTAACTGAAAGATTAATTGTATTGAAACAAATTTCATGATTTATCACTTGCCTTTTAATTAAAAAAATCTATTTGAAGAACTTACCTCTGCCCGATCAAAACGAAACAATCGCCATGAACTGCTGCCATGAGATTGCCGTTCAGTATCAATAGTTTCTGTGCTTGTTCTTTGATAGGAAGGATTTGTAAATGTAAGAGTAATGAATTCTGGAGCTGATCGACGTCGTTGTCTAAAGAAAAGATTTATTTTATATTAAGCAGAACCAACAAGTTTTATTAAATATTCTACAACAATATTTGAGCATTTCTTTTCAAAGCTACCATACATGATGCTTTAAAGTTGAATGATTTTTCTTTATATTGTGTGAAAAAAAAAAATTAACTTCATTAAGGCTAATGATAACAAAGTCATTGTTTTGTTACTCTCTAAACACAAAAGTAATTGACAATGTGGATAAAACTCAATAAGTGGTCCATAAAAGTGTCCTTGTACCAGAATATGCTTAACTGAAATGAATCAATGATTTGTCTGTATTTGATGATTGGTTCCTTAGATATAACAGTTTGGTTTCAAAGAATACATGTCATTTACAAGATTCTCCTTCAAGTTCCTTTCACTAACATCATGGTATTGCTACAACTTTTTCAGCATTATGCATGCATACATTTCTGAGACAAAGCAGGAATACATTTTACTTACCTTTTCCACATAACAAGGATAAAAATAAAACCTATAATGACAGCAGATGAGAGCACACCAGGAATGACAAAGGTGGAAAAATGACGAGACTCTGTAAAAAAAATAAATAAAAATATTGTATAAAACTATCACTATCAGCAATGAAAATGTTATATTTTTATTTCTGTAAATTTTACAACTTATTTTAAGCTATATCAAAGCATTAAATTTCTAGATTGGCATCTGATATTGTTCAAATAAAGAACATGGTTTCATAGAAATTATAAAAAATTAAGTCAATTCATAAATAAAACATGATTAAAATAAAACAAAAGTCTGTACTGACTTCATCAAGAGATTTTCATCTTAAAACTAAATATTTACAAATTATAAAAGCAAAATTACATTGATTACATTTTTCCCATATATTAAAACCAAATGCATAAATTTTGTTTGCTTCTTCATATGATAAATTAAAATCCCAATATTCAATATTTATTGTTAAAAACAATCTAAAATTTCTTGAACATATTCCAATACATTACAGAGAATAAGAAATTTCTAAAATTCCTGATATATCAAAAAATGTAGTTTGGAAATCAAATTTAATCTTACATTTCATTTAGGTACATTTTAAATATTAGCATATGTAAGATTTTGGAACTGAATGACAGTAATCAATAAGGTAAACAGGATTGAAAAGAGACAAATTAATAAAGAGATAAAGAAAAAGATTACTTTGAAAATTACCAGACAGATTTGTGTTTAATTCAAATGTCAGAGCATTAGAAAGTTTAAAACAATTTTAAAAATCTGTAAAAATAAAGAATGTAGGTCTATATCACAAGTTGGAGTTTATAATTTACAATGCAAGACATAAAAGTCTATAGGAATCAAAGATTAGAAAAAATCATTTGGCTTTTATCATAATGAACCAGAAGAAGAACTAAAAGTACAGCATTTGGTCAACAGAACAAAACCAAACAGAATATTTTGTATGCCAGTTTTGTTTGTATTAGTGTCTTTCAAGGATTCCAGCTTTCCATTAGAGGACATTCTTTTAATTTTCATTTCTGTTCCTCTCTTTGCTATGATCTATTATCCTGGCAAAGAGAGTTGTTGTCATATTGGCATAAACATTATAGCAGGTTTAACTACTGAGATTAAAAACAGACATTTTTGGCAAAGTTCAAGTTCACTGAAATCAACTGATTTATACTGAAATCCACAAAATCTCCAAAATTTATATCATTTTATCAATTTTAATCATTAAAACTTTCCCAATCATAGTCTTGTTAGAAATTATAGAAACAGATATAAATGTATTCAATTCACAAAAAACACATTATTTACAATTGGACTAATGACTTCATCTTTATCATCACATTTTGCCCATTACACCATTCATCCCTTTTCAAGTTTTAGTCAAATTTCAAAATGAACAGTTTATATAGGGATAGATTTTTTTTTCTGTTGGGTATGTCTAGAAATATGTTGTTGTTTTTAGTACTATTCAGTTATTGCTTGCCCTGTTGGGTCGACCAGAAGTTCCTGTCTCAAAGTCAGGTGTCAAATGACCAAAATCAGACATTTACACATAGGCTTCAAGTGGCACTTTTGGCAGCATTTTAAAATATTCAAAAATAAAATTCATATTATTATTTAGCCACAGACAGCATTCCCCTTGCATTTTTGAAGGGTTTCATTTTTGCTGCTACCTGGAAACTATAAATACCAAAGATAGAAAAAGTGGATTCTGTGTTGTGATCTCTGATATGGATCACTCATCAACTAAATCGACATTTCTCACTTTGCCAATGTAGATTCTCAAAAAAGTTAAGTACTGTTATGATGTTGATTTGGGGTTAGTAGAGACAAACGCCAAATAACACGTAACAATAAAAAGGGTTTTAATAGGTTGGTAAAAAGGTACAGAAATCGCCTGAGTAGTCAATAACTAGCTCAGCTAAGAACTTCTCTGTCTATCTGTCTCTTTTTCCATGTCAACTAACATGCCACTATTTAAATTCTTTGTTCGCAGACAAGTTCATCTTCAAGAGGGGTGGTAAGTTTCTGACACAACAAGTACTTACTTTTCCCTTCTTTTCAAGAGTTATTAAACACACCTCAATGTATGTAAATGAACTTTCCCTTCTTCCCAAAGGTTTTATTAAACATGCCACAAGGTGTAAAAAAACATCAAATAAATGTTTGTTATTAAAAAATCTGTTTTTAGTTTGTTACTTTTCTTTTTTCAAAGTATATAGTTAAAGATTATCTTATTCTAGACAGTACCCAGAATAATTGTAATCACAACTACCTAAATTAGATTGTGCACCAACAACATACCATGATCCCCCAATAGATCAACCCAGTCCAAGAATTGAACTCAAAATTACTATACTACCAAATTTACAAACCAATACTTTAATCAACTAGGCTATTGTTCCATAAAACAATCCTGAATCTAAAACTTGGAGCCTTAAACCTAAGGTTCTTATTGTCAGTCTGCTGTTGCCACTTTAATGATTGACCTGCTTTGCTCCCACTTATCAATTTATCATTCATGAGCAAAAGTAATCATTGGAAATGATTAGATTATTTTCTTCAAACACTTTTCTTTAATCATTTAATTCAAAGAAAGCAAAAGCATTTTCCATTACAATATTGTATAAGTTTGGTTTTAAAATGGCTAATTTGTAATTAACATTTTATTCATTTGCATAAAAAGATTGAAAGTAATCTTACCTGCTTCATGACCATCTTCTGGCTGACATAATCCAGCTTTAATTTGACTTTTGTTGCATCTAGAAAATATTTCATTTTATTGAAAAAAATGTTAATGACTAGTTTTTCAATCAAAAAGAAGACATCCATGATAAAACAATGTTACAACAATTTAATCAGCAAATAACTAAAATAACTGCAGTCATAACTGTTTAAAATTCTATAAGTAATTAATGCCTCCCAATCTTTTCCTTCATAAAAGGAATTAAAATATGCCACTTGAGATTAAGTAACCTTACAATTCAAAGATTGATTTATATTGCATGTGCTTCTTCCTCCTTCTAAACAGACATCAACTTATAGTCAGGGTAGGTAATTTGTTGATCACAAAATATTTGCAACCTGGATAGTCAAAGTTTACAATAAACACAAGACATTGATAGTAATTACATCTTCATTTGAATTCCTATTCAACGCATTGGAACTGACAAGTATTGATTTGTACGATTAAAACATTGTATCTGAAGTTAAAATAAGATTTCATCTGAAATTTACCAGTGATAAAATTTTAATTATTCTGTTGAAACAAAAGTTCATATCATATTTTCAAAGACAATATTTAGATATTTGTACATAGATTTATTCAATGCCATTTTTCCACTATCTTTTGTCATTTTTTAGTCAGCTTCAGAATTCTACCATCCCAGAACTTGGCAAATTTCTATAGGTTATAAACAGGTCTAAGTGGTTTTTACAGGCTTCCTGAGACCTGAATAAAATTTTGTAGGGATCAAAATAAGTGGTAATCCATGCATGGTTAAGTGTGTATGGCAGATGTTGTATGTCATCCCCACTGAGCAGCATCAGTTTCTGCTGGATCGGCAAAGTGATATGAGGTCAGACATTGTCATGATGGAAGATGACACCCTCCCAATTGGCCAATTCTTGATGCTTTTCATCAAGTGCTGCTTTTAATTGGTTCAGTTAGGAAGAATCTGAATTCAACATCAGATTTTTCAGAAGGAGCTTATAATACACAATATCCTTCCAATTCTACCAGATAGACAGCATCACCTTCATCAGATGCACACTAGTTTTAGGAGTGGTTAACAGCAGCTAAGTTTTTTTCTCCAGGACTTTTTCCCCTCATATTGTTGCAAACAACCTATTTTTCATCACCTGTAATCCGTCTTTTCAAATATGTGTAGTTTGCGTTACATTTGAGCAAAGAATCGAAAATAGAAATATAATCTATTAAACTTTTATGTTAAATAATAAGGAACTCAAATATTGTAGCAATTTATGTATCCAAATGTTTACAAATGATTTACAATGTTCATGAGATATATGAAGTGCTTCTGCATTGTCCATGTCCTGTGACATGGATTATTTTTAATTAACATTTTGATTTGGTTATCATTGATTGCAGGCCTGCTGGAATGTTCTTATTATTCCAGATCAAAATTTCCATTTCTGAACCTCGCAAACAACTTATGAATAGTACTCTCAGGTATAACACCATTTCCATAAATGACACATATCTTCTTTGTGCAATGGTTTTTCATTTCCAGAAATACAAGAGCATCAAACGATGAAAATGCATATAATTTTCCTCCATTTTCACTTTTAATGTAAAACTATTCAAAATTTACAATCCACACATGAATAATATAGAAATAGGCATTGAAATATCACCTTTCAGAATATGTATACATGTCAAATTGCAGTCACATGTGAAACAAAATCACATCTTCAAACACTACTTGCCCAAAAACATTACAAAACATTACTTTTATGCAAAATATTCTTATAAAGCAACTCATATACAAATGGATGCTGAAAAGTTCTTGGCTTAACCAACTTCTAAAAATCTGATCAAATATTTTTAAGAGTTTCTTGTTCAGGCTAAGTATTTTTCAGTAATATACAAGAAATATTTTATTATAAACATCTGAAATCTAGCATTTCTGAATAACATTGACAATTAAAAAAAAATAAATAAATTAAACATTTATACAAATAGGAATTAATCTAAACATATTTGTTTCATTCTCCATCAAATTTTTTTCAAAAGAATAAAATTTGCTAGTGTTGAAGTTTTCATGTTGAAATAAAAGCAAATACAGATCAATTATTTTTACCGATTAGACTGGTGTGACCCTTGAGTTGAGCTAGACTTTTTTGCAAACAAATCATCATCATTTGAACTGGAAATGAGAGGCACTGAGAAGAAATGAATAGAAAATTGGTTTTAGTTTCATAAGGTTCAATAACAAAATCATTGATACAATAATTACATTTATGGGATAACTTTAAGTGTTAGTTCCCATATTGAAAATGAAAACACTATTTTGCAAACAATGTACATAAATAATTCACAATCAAATTTTAAACAAGGTAATTAACTGTATCTATATCTATATTGTTTTAGCAGCAAATTTTGCAACTTACCAACAAGACATGGTCGAGAATCTGGATATGTAGGGCAAGCACACTTGTAACCATTTGGACGTGCTAAGCACAAATGTGTGCAACCACCATTTCGAATGGCACATTGGTTGGTACCTATTAAAGAAAAATTAGGGTTATGCTGCAAGTTTTAAAAAAATGCAAACATTATGGATAATTTTTTGGCAGTGTTAAGAATAAAATATGAAATTTTATGTTTAAATCTAATCTTACATCAGAAATTAGATTTGTAAGCTGAAAAAGTTGATATACAACTTCCTAAGTTTATGAGAAAAGCTGGAGATATTTTTCAGGAGAATTGACAAAACTTATCCTTAAAATAATTTAAACTATTATATTTTTGTATTTACATATTTAGAATTAACTAAAGGACATTATAATCAAGTCTATAAATCATTTCAAATAAAAAATTCTTCTTTCACAAAATCTTCGAGTTGAAAGTAGGAAATTTACCTGTTTGCCTAAGTGGAGACACAACACTAATAGCCATGAGGCCCTCCATGTTGTTTTGGATTACAATTCTATTTAGTCCTGTCATTTTGTTTGCACGGTGTATTGATTTTGTCCTCCAATCAGTCCAGTATATGTAATCACCAAACTTTAAAAAATCAAATATAAATATTCAATTTATCATTTTGTTACCATAAAAATAAAGTTTTAAATGATTTTATTGCTTATAACAAGATGATTTTGTTAAAATAAATTTCAGTATTTTTTCTAAAGAATAAAACAAGTTCTATAAAGTATCTTTGTGAAATTAGATAAATACATTTTCTTATCTACCTACAATATTACAAGACTCTATAATTATATCTTGAAAATTTTACAAATATTGGTTGATTAATACCAATTATATTAAGAGAAAGAGACTAGATTCTACCTAAAAGTGCCAACAGATTCAAAATGAACTTTAAGTTAGTACTTTTCTTTTGTTTTCTTTTATATTATTCTCATTTTTATCTCCCATGGGGTGGGTAGTGTGACTATATATATATTATATATATATATATATACGCACATAAACACACACATATACAGGGTGCGATGGATAAATTGTCGTCTGAATTACACAAAAATAAGGCTGACATTTCATTTTAACAGATATATTTACCAAAATTACACAAAAATATCTTGAAAGACTATAGAATAAATTTATTCAATAAATACACATAATAATCAAGAGAGTTGCAGTCTGGGGAGTTAGGTGGCCAAATGTAAGGTCATAAAAATTGTCTTACAGCCATGACTGTGGTCTCCTGTTTGTGTGACATGGCCAGACATAGGGTCTTCCAGCTGCCACCATCTTGATTCAGGGCAGCACTACCTCCTCAAGGCACATGATGTAGGCCTACATGTTGAGTCAGGCCCACACCAACAAATTCAAGAATGATTTTTCTTAGTTGCTGTACTGTCATAATCACCATTAGATTCATCCAACTCTTTCCAAATTCTCTGCACTGTCCTCAGATTGATACCCAAACACTCAGAAATGAGCTTTCAGCACAAATTCCAAGTAGTACAGTATACCATTTCCAAATTTCTGGTGCTTAATTTCTCACAGACGGTGCCCAACTGACCATACCATGCAGTCAACAAAATCAAAAACAAAAGTTGCGCAAGTGCAAAATTAAAAATATAAAATAGCAACAATTTAACCACTGGTGATTGTGTGTAGTTATATATATAACTTCCTATGATGTTACAAATGGAAAAGTTTCTTTGCCATCACCCTTGATTACATATTGAGAATTTCCATCAACATACATCATCTCAGTTCATTTTATCACCAAGACTTTCAAGTCAATATCCTGTAAAAAAGTTCACTATGGAGATGACTTAGCTATCACTGCAGACACCATTACCAAATCCCACAGTTCTCCTACATCATCTAGAAAATGTTGTCAATGATATCATTACTTTTAAAACTGAATTATATGCTTCAACCTAGCAAGGCTCAATACAAACTATCTCAGGTGAATCAATAAAATCTGTTGAATTGTTTACATATCTAGGAAATATAAATAAATAGACCAATTATAGATAAATCATACTGAAAATGACGTGAAAATTCACATAGCTAAAGTCAGAGTGAATAAAATGGATGTACTCTGGAAATCTGATCTACTAGACAACCTCAAGCAGAGATTCTTTCCTCTCACTGTAGAGGCAGTTTCAATGTATGGTGCCACTGCCTGGACATTAACAAAACCCCAAAAGTCTAAGCTTGATGGAATCTACACTCGGATGCCGAGAGCTATATTTAACATCCAACTAAATCACAGCTCTATGTACCTATCCCTAATATTTCTACAATCTTACACAAATGCAGAATGTGCTTTGCAGGACGTGGCTGATGAGCAAAACAAGAACATGTGAGTGATGTACTGTTCTGGACACCTAGCCATGAAGCAAGATGGGTTGGTCACCCACCAATCACTTACACTGACCAGATATGTTATGACACAGAATGCCTCTCTAACGATCTTCCAACTTTGATGCAGGACAATGATGATTAGCATGATAGACTTATCATGAATGTTTGAACTAGCTTGAAAGAATATCATATAAAAATACCAATTTTAATGTGAAAACTAATTTGCATAATAAAATCTATCAGTATAAACCATATAATATAGTAACCCTCTTTATTTAACAGTCCAAATTGAATTAAAACCATACAATTAGACACTGATTTTAATTTTTTATATAAGAGTCTTACACTAAAATCATAAATAGCAAAAATATTCTGAAACTTAAAACCAAAGTTTTGAGAAAAATTGTAAAGGAAAAACATCACACAAATTAGATATTTATGACATTCACATTGAAAAAAATCAGCCTAAACATATAATTAATGAAAATGTGAAAACTATTTTTGTGAAATTGTTTAAAGTATTAAATGTTATTTGATATTTTTACTGTCAGCTGGAAATAAGCTAATGTTTAATCAAAGTAAAATCTTGAATACTTACAACAGATAGACCAAAAGGATGTGGAACATCTCTTATGATTTCAATCCTATTTTTGCCATTTAAATCAGACATTTCAATCTTATCTAATTGTGCATCAACCCAATAAAGATGCTTTGTAACATAGTCAATAGATAAGCCATTAGGATATCCTGCAAAATGAAAAATTTTAGTTTATATTTCACACATAATATTTTTAAAATATATAATTGCAACTAAAATGTATATCAACATGAAATTTTAAGTTTTCAGTCATCATGTGTATGGAAAAATAAAAACATTTTCTTTGAAAATGTTGTCATTGTCAAACAATATTATCTGCCCCAGTCACAATATTAATTTTCTACAATATACTAAAATTACTAAAGCATCCTAACTGAATGTATATATAAATATTGCCAGTTTTAATTTAACACAAATTTAAATTCAATTGGTGAATTCTTTACACAATATCACACACAGTTTATATTCTAGAGACATGGATAGGTCATTCCCATGACAATCAAGTGCAAGAAAATTGCAAGAAAATATAAACAATATCGTAAATATAGCTATTATCATCATCATTAAAGTCAGCAAAATCAAATACATCTTTTTTCCACAATCCCAATTCAAATTAATCATCATAGTCAAGAATGGCAGAAAAGGATTTTTACTTTAATGTTTGAATTGATAAAAAATTTAAAAAATTTGTCTTGATCTTAATATTTATTTCAGCATTTTGTTTTTCCATTTACTTTGTTTTTCTACATAAGAAAACATCCAAAATAAAATGATTTTGAAAGTGTTTTTAAATAACATTTGTTAAAACTTTGTATGATAATTTTTTTATGCTTTCAACATATATAAGTTTCAAGCATTAGAAATATTTTCTCATGAAAATATTTCAGCATTCATTGGTTATTACATGTCAACTAATTTCATTGCCATTTTAACTTATAATCATCCATAAGAAAATATCACTTACCCAGATCATTTGTAACAATTGCTTTTCGGCTTGTCCCATCCAAATAAGCACGTTCTATTTTAGGACTTTTACCCCAGTCAGTCCAAAACATAAATCTAAAATCATAATAAAGTTAATAGTTTCAGATTACAAGATAAACACAGACCAAACTGATATGAAGAACTAAATACGGCTTCCTTTCAATAATCCACTGATGTTAATTTTTCTCTTTGCTTTTCTACAAGACTCCATATTGTTGTATTTCTTAAACAGCAAAATACACAAAAGTGAAGAAAACTGAAAGGTAAATCTTTGCTAAAATTTATTTTTCAAATAATTGCAATTATGTAAAACAGTTATGAATGGAAAAACAGAGATAAAGGACAGACAACATAGAGATTTATTTTCCCCTCTCCTCGAAGAGAAAAGGTAGGTTTGAAGAGAATGTCAAAATCCCAAAAGTTCATTTTCATGAAGAAAAACTTATTTAGAATTTTCACATTAGTTGGATTTTGCAATCAAAAAGGAACATGTAGAGTGATTCAAATTATATTCAAATTGAATGCAATCAAAATGTGATTAGAGATTTTATTCCTATCAAAAAAAAATTTGGCATTGAGGGGAGTTTATTTTAACTTAAAAAGACATAAAATTGTTCAATAAGCAAACAAAAAACTTTCAACTTTTGATAAAATTTGTAAAATAAGAGATAAATTTACTACCAGTTTGACTATTTGTATGCTAAAAACACAAATGCAAGGAAATTTATTCAGAAAAAAAAGGGCTACCAACAAATTCCTTCAGGGTTAAAGAGTTGGATAACAAAGAAATATGATACAAATGAGTTTGAAGTTAAAAAACAGAAAAAGAACTAAGCTAGATATACTAACAGAGGAAAGAAAATTATCAAATATTAAAAAAAAACAAATGAACAGAGATCAAGCATGACATTGAGATCAGAAATAAAAACTAACCTCCCCTCCCCAACTCTCAACATTTAAATAGCAATTTATGCTTGTGTAACCTGGACATTGAGAAAAGTGGACATACAAAAGCTCTCAGTATTAAAAAAAACAACTGACTCAGTGTCATGAGCTAGGAAAAATATCAGAAAGATAATCAGAAGTGAAGATTGACATAATTACCCAAATTAGAAAAAGGAGGCTAAATTGGTTTGAGCATATAAGCAGAAGGGAAGAATAAAGCTTTGCATATAGATCCTGCAAAGACAACTTCCCAGGGAAAAGAACAAATGTAAGACCACCTAAGATACAGGAAGACCAAATCAGAGAGGACACAGGAAAACCACTTTTGACACTTGAAAGAATTGCTTTGGACAGGATGCATACAAGGATCTCTTTGGGAGCATGTGACTAATGAATGAATGTAAACTCAGTGTCAACAATTTCAGATATTATAAATAGCAACAATAATGTAGTCATGGTAACTACATTAATAACAATTACATGAATGATTATCGATACATTTTAATAATTGGGCATTTTTTAACAAACATAATAATGTCAATTTTTTGTTTACTTCTAGGCTTTTTCATCCATAACAAATCTATGCTAATACATTAAGTTAAAACCATTTATTCTGTCTTGTTTGTGCATGGGATTCTTTTTAATTTAACATAAAGGTTGTCTATGTTGTCAACATATGTAAAACAAAGTTTATTTTGTTGTGGCTCATGTAGTAAATCATCATTAAAAATCTACTTCATTTAAAAATCTTCACTCAAATATTAAAAAGAAAATTAGTAACTTGCAGTTGACTTACCCTTTCTTTGGAAATACTGCTACTGCTCGGGGTTCATCTAAATTTTCAGATACTAAAGTACGACGACTTGTCCCATCAATTCTAGCAACTTCAATTACATCACGGCCTGAAAAAGTAGTAAGAAATTTGAATAAATTTAACAAAAAATGACAAATCAAATTTTTAATAAATTGATCATTAAATGTGGAAAACAAGTGAAATTAATAGAAGTAATATAACATTAATAACTATGTAACAGCATGAATGAGGAAATGACTTCATTACAAAACCTTTTTTCTTTAATAAAATTTGTTTCATATGATAAATGTTCCTCCATTCTCCCTCAAAAAATTTCAGATTGCATTCCCAAACTAAGCCACACCAATGAATTTAATTATGCAACAAAATCTTTGAACAAAAACCTCAAATATTCAAAACTTAAGAGAAGGAAAAAACAAAATAAGTAAATATTTCCGAATGTTAAAATAAAGATATTTTTAATTACATTGTATAATGAAAAGTTTTCAATATTCACAAAAATTGAAAAAGAGACAAAACAACTTTTTATCAAATTTGTATTTTTTCGTATATGATAGTTTTTATAACTTTGAAAGATAAAATATTATTTTCTAAATCATGTTCATAACATGAGATGAATTACATTTTAAATAAACAGGCGTCACGTTATTAATAAATTATATTTCTAATAGGCAAAGCCTATATCCCAGTATGTGTAGATGTGTGTCTGCTAAAAAAAAAAAAAAAAAAAAAATATGAAAATTTGGCACAAGTGGATATCCCATACATACATGGGACTAGGGACCAAAAGAATAGCACAGCTTCCCCGACACTTCCCTACTGAAATGTCTCAGGGTATCAGGGATTAACTCTAGCCCTGTTCCTTTTAATCAGAGTAGGATAGGCATCACCTTGGAGAATAGCCCCAGGGAACTAGGTATAATGATAGTAAATGCACATAATGTAGGTTTATCTACAAAATCCAACCTAATCATTTTTTTACTTATAGAATTTGTTTTTTTAAAGTTTTCTTCATAAAAATAAATTATTTTTTTATTTGATAGCAGATTTATTTCTTTATTGCTAAAATCAAGATGCTTTTGGGGCATATCAAGACTAGAATGGAAAATCTGAATTTTCTGTCTTATTTAATATTAATGCTGATACTTGACATTGTGCAGGTCATGTCACCTTCTTTTGTTGTTCAGCCATTTGAGAGATTTGCATATGCTGTAAAATGGTCCTAATGAAATTGTCATAATTAAAGCAGTCCAACAGATTTTAAACATTTTGACAGATATTTATTTTATATATGTAGGCATTGTAATAAATTTAACAGAATCATAATTAAAATGTTTCAAGTCCCAGTAAAAGATTAAACAGATAGAATAGAAAAACTAAGGATATCAAAGAAAAGGCACCTGTGAAACGCCAAATAGTATTGCTAGTATTATATAACTCTTAGAAATAATCTAAGAAAAAACAAATTCTTTGTATTCTCTGAGCCTCTTTGTAGCATTTGTTTGATTTGACAATAATAAAAGTTACACCATCTAACTTAAATATTAATAGTATACAAGTGCATGAAAAAGATACATGAATAACTATCAACATTTTAAAAATATAAAAAATTTGTAAACACTATTTGAAAATCATTTACCAGTGTCAGTCCAGTAAATATTTCGGGCCACCCAGTCTACAGCAAGTCCATCAGTAGTTGATAAGCCCTTGTGAATCACTTCCTCCATGTTACTCCCATTTAAACTGGCTCTTCTGATGAATAGAACATTAAAATTAATATACTTACTAAATAAGTCAAATGTATGATACTAATGTGTTTCAAAGTATTTGAAAAATAAATATTGTGCTTTGATAAATGATAAATACAATAAATTCAAACTATAAACACAGTTGCCAGACATTGAATTTATTACAATTAACTAAAAGCAAAAGATTTTCTCCTTTTCACTATAAAATGAAACTTGATTGAATCAAGAAAGATAAAAAGAAAGATTGGTGTATGGAAATATATGCAATATTTAATAGAGATAAAGTTCAAAGCAAGAGCTTGAAAGGAATATTTTTCAATCAGGATGTTGTAACAAATTCTATTGAGTTAATACTCAATAGAATCTTTTTACTAGAAACATTCAAGAAGTTCTAATATACATTCAGCCAAGAATAAAATCTCTAATACCAGAATTAGGTTTTTAATATCAATCAAGAAAGTCACTTCAGAGGGAAGAAAAAAATATAAATTGTACGGAGATGCAAATTCATATGAAAGTTCAAATACAAATTCTTGTCACTGAAACAATGATTTAGTTCAATAATGAAAAGTTAAATGTAATGACTTTTAAAAGGTTTAAATTAATAAAAGAATAAGTTGTTCATTTACCACCTAAAAGATATCAAAAATGTTGATATAAAGTGAACTGATCAAAAGATTACTATTCTGTAAGAAATAGATTTGCTTATTGAACACAAATACAAGATATGTAAAAAATTGACAATGGTGAATAATTAAAATTAGTTTGCCTCCTTATCAGAGAAACTCTCGTTTCAATACTAGAAAATGAAGTAAGGACCAAAATTCTTTTGTTGCATGCTTAAATACTCAATATGCAAACATCACAGTAAACAAATATCATATATTCTGGCATAGAAGCTGATTTGGTATATAAGACCACCCCAACATTTTCAAGTTAAAATGTAGGTTTTGGGTTATATTTGCCATACAAGATGAACCACCTCCCCCAAATAATATTTTAAAATGTATTGAATTTATTAAATAAATTCATAAGCATATACTTTCTTTTCACTTAAATTCTAATGAAAAAACAGTGGAGAGTTATTGTAAATTGACTACCACAATCTATAATACCTCATGAGTGGGTGCTGTGTATTTGGTAGGCTATTATGGTAGCCTGAATGCCCCACTAACCATCCATTCATTCCTATGTTCTTGAATGCAATCTTTAAACAGCTTATTGAGACAAACATCCAGTGGTTGTATGAATGATGTCAGTCCTCTAGAAATAACTGCCATATCTGTGTTATATTCTTACTAGCCATTTCTTTGTGTTGGTAGTTAAATGATACATGAACATATCCCCACACCAACAGGCTACATTGTTTACTATGTTCACATGGTTGCCTACTCCATATAGGATCAAGCCATAGCTTAATCGCTTCTTCATCTACCCAGCCTTTTTCATTGACATGTACAAAAACTCCAACAGGGAACTTGATTTTTGGCATTGTTTTTCTTTTAAAAATTATCATTTGTTTTAGTTTGGTGCCATTTGCCATACAAGCTACTATCACTGGAAAACTTGATTTTTCATGTCCTGTTGTTTTACCATAAACCACAGGATTTAAAGTTCACATTTCATACAGTGGGTATAAGATGGACCCCTATTTTGGGGGAAATTTTTATGGTTAAAAGGTTGCTTTGTATGTCGACACATACACTACTTCCTTTTTCCCTATCTCCACTTATGGTCAATTGCACAATAGTTCTTTCCAAAAAGTTCAGTTTTGAATAGCAGTACTTATTTTCCTCTGATCACATGTAACACACCAGTCTGAGGCTAGTGGAGTGATCTCTTGATCACCACTGTCACATTAGTCTGAGTATGCTGATCTGCTAACCTGATCACTTGGTGAGGATCAGGAGGTGGAAATCATGACATTACCATACTAGCTTCACCAGTCTATTCTTCCCTGCTGGCTTAATATAATTTGGAAATAAATAATGCTCACTCATTCCCAAATCGAAGAAAATTGTGTTCTTTTGAAATTTATTTCTAGTATAGATTAGTTATGAACCTACATGTCTCTAAGTTAGTCAACTGGTATTTTCCTATTTTTTTTTTAATTTTGTATAATTTTCTTTATTTTTTGTAGTAATTATATATTTGCCAAAAAAGAATAAAATAAATTTAAAAAAAAAAAAAAAGTGGGGAAATTTTAGTCGCAACAATAATGAATTCAACATGCCAAAATGAAAATCTCACCTAATTACATCCAGAGTGACATCTGTATAATATATTTTACTCTCTTGGATATCAAAATCAAGTGCAACTGCATTGTGTACATCAGGCAATGGAATATAAACATCTGTGTAATCATGAGAATCAAGAGAAATCCTTCGAATACTGCCACGGCTTGCAAACAACAGATACACACTTGGCACTAAAAATATCAAGCAAAAGAAACATATTCAAGTATTATTATGCAAATACACTTTTATACAAACAACACAACATTGCAAAAAGTTCAAAATATTTCAAATTACTTTTAAGGACTTCTGTATATGAGAAAAACATGGTGCAACAAAACTGATTTCTGATATCTGAATTCTTATAATCCAAAAAAGATTAGAAAACTATTTTATAATAAGTCATCATAGAAAGGGCAATATTCATGGTAAAACAGATTACAGAAAAAGTATACTTATCTTGAATTAATCAAACCAAGAATTCATTTATTTTTAAAATTTCTTCCTAACACTTGACCAAAAATACATTCCATTACATCAGATAAAATTAAAAATGAAACCTGTTACATACTAGACTGACATGTTTTGCCATCCTGAGTAAGAAGCAATCCTGTGGGGCATACACAGCTGTATCCCTGAGGATTAGGCAAACACAAATGACTGCAACCACCATTACTTTGACCACAGCGATTTGAAGGATGATCTGTTGAAAGAATTGCAAAATTTACATATTATTTGGGGTGTTTTAATTTTTATCTTGACTTTCTTCAACTTTGATCACTTAAAAATAAGAGTTACATGCAACTATAGAAAAGATCAGAATAACAAGGTTAAAAATTCCCTACACAAACCAATAAGTTTCTTTCATATAAGGACAATATCACTGGGTAAAATATACTAATAGATATAACACAACTTACCAGTCTTATCAATATATACTGCACGTAAATCCATTAGTCCAGGGATGTTGCTGCGAATTACTGTAACATCTTCACCTGTTATTTTATCTGCTCGATGAATAGATCTTGTACGCCAATCAGTCCAAAAGATATATCTACCTGCCACAGTTAATCCATATGGATGAAGAAGTTTGGAAACTAAAACTTTCCGAAAATTTCCATTTAAATCTGAGCATTCTATAACCTGAAAAGATTAAAAAAAAAGAAAAAAATGAGGAAAATTTACTTTTGTACCTAGAAAAGTTGTAATTTAGAAATTGAGGCACATTACCTAAATAGACAAAGCCTACAAAAAAAAAAAATATAAAAAAATGAAAATTGTTTTAGGAAATAATTTTTGTAGATTAACATTTTTAGACCTTTCTTAGGCTGCAACTTTTATCAGAATAGAAAAATATTGATTTGTTATGGATTTAGATGAGGCTATCAGTACAGTGTCAAATCAATGCCTGACTTTGAAAATTTACTGGCCTTAGGCTAAATCACTTTGCTGCTATTTACATATGTTAAGTTTGAAAATGTGCTAACATAATTGATATCTGCATATTTTTTAAACTTTAAAAAAAATTTTTGTATTGGAATTTTTCAGAAGTACAGGCACAACCATTTGATATTCATAAATATTTATCTTAAATTAAGAATAACCAGAAACATAATTTTATTAATTTATATAAATTTTGTTGTTTAATTAAAAATGAATATATCTGTTTGCCCATTATTTAAGAGAAATCTTTTTGTAAACCTGTAGTAAAAATATTGTGTACTAATTTTATTAACAGTAAAAGTTATTTCCCCTTAACTATTTATTTAACTCTTCGCGAATAAAATATCCCACTACTCAACTTCCTCTTCAGTACCTGTTGTATGAATTATGATGAATAAAACTTAAATCGCAAAATAAATTTTGCTTTGTTATTCGCCACAAAACCCCGCTCAAAAAAATAGTATTTTGATACACAAAACAAAGGCCAATAACTCTTCAAAGTCAGGGATTGATTTGACACTGTATTGCTATTATAAACAGGACCCCCTTCTAAATTGATAAAAAATCAATATTCTTCAAGTCTTACAAATGTCACGACCTAAGGAAGGTCTAAAGAATGTTAATGTACAAGAATTATTTCCTAGAAAAGTTTTCCCTATTTTTTATAAGTGGACCAGTCTGTTTAAGTGGTGCGGAAATTGAATTTACTATTAAACAATAAATGAAAAGAATAAAAAAAGTTTTCTATAATTTTGAAAACAATAACAAAACAATAATCTACATTTTGTTAATTACAGAAAAATATATCAAAATATTCTAAATCTCATCTTTCTAATGATAAAATTACCTGAAAATTTAAAATATTTTATCATTTAAATGGATTTTTGGTAAAATTTTGCCAAAGACCACCTGTGATAATGAATAAATTATGGAACATAAAATTTAAGTTTACAATTTTGTTATTATAATTCAGTTACATTTGAAATTTTTTTTAAAATACAACAATCAATGTAATTATAGTTGGAAAAAAAGACAGACTGAAAAGGAAAAAAGAAAAAGGGAAGAATAGAGTTATATAGATTACTAAGAAATCCTTAAGAATTATCTGTTAGTGAATAATACAAAAGTTCTTTGAAGATGGTAAATTAGACCAAACAGATAAAAAATAAGTTTTTACAGAAATTCCTGTCAAAACCATATTTTAATAGTTACTAAAAAGTATAACTACAAGTATTTCCCAAAAAAGTTCTCAACTTAATCCATTTACCAAACTCTTATTAATCATCAGAATTTTTGAATAATTTTTGATCAGGCTGAGAGCTTCTCAACACCGATTCATAGAAAATGTTTCATTACATTCAAACTCTCAAAAATTAAAAAAAAAATTTCCTAGTGTGTTTCCATAAGGTTTACCTCAGTTGTAGCATCATTCCAGATAAGTCGTCTTGTTTCTTTATCAATCGTCAACCCATTTGGCCATCCAAGGTCATTTGCTATAACAGTTAAACGATTGTTGCCATCCATATCTGCACGCTCAATACGAGGCTGATTTCCCCAATCTGTCCAATACATGTAGCTGGAAATTCACAAAACAATTTGTATATAAAAGTATAGATGTTTTGTTACATATTTGGCCTTGTAACACAAAATAGACAAGCAAAATTAGGTTTTATGGATACAGAACATAAGACTATCATCTACAAAAACAATGTAAGACAATCAAAATGTTTCATGTAGATTTATACATGAGAAAATATACTTAAGCATATATTCAATATAAAACTCATGTTTTTCACAAACTTGCTTAATATGACACAAAAAAAGAACTGAAACAAATTTATTTTCATCCAAAAGATATTATCTATTGCATTTAGGGAATGTTTCTTTGTCTATGCTATATTGCAAGTATTGCCCTTAGATATGTCAGTAAAAAACAAAAGTACAGGATGTGATAGAAATACCTCTCACATAATAGTAAGACATTAGCTAGATGAAGACACCTTTGCCACTCATGTCTTAACATTATGTGGGAGGTATTTCTGCCACACCCTGTATAATGACAAAAGGATTAAAATTACTCTTACCATAAATTTACAAATTTTTTTATTCAGTTTTTAGTTCTTGTTCTTTTTGCATCAATTTTGTACATTATTAGCATCCATATTTCTACTGTATCTGTCTATATTTCTGAGATGAGGTATTATATACACTATTTGCATCATTCAGACTATTGTCCTCATCTTTGTTGTCATATATTTATCACAATGTTTCGGCCATTGACAACTCCAGCTTTCTTCAGGTGGTTGGAATGTCAAACTGAACCCTTTATTTCGCTCACAAGGACACATGACACAGTGGATAAAGGCATCATTTAGATCCAGTGACAGGACCCAAAGGAGTGTGAGTTCAATACCTGGTTAAGGCAGTGGAGAACCTGGAGAGGGGTATTAACAGGAGATAACTGATAACTGACATCTATTAGACATGGCACAGTCTACCTCAGTGAACGAAATAAAGGGTTCAGTCCAACATTCCAACCACCTGAAGAAGGCCAGAGCATACAACAGCCAAAACATTGTGATAAATATGGCAACAAAGAGGAGGACAATAGTCCAAATAATGTAAATAGTATACATATTTCTACTGTTATTCCAAAGAAAAAAAAATCAAACCTCAAAGTCTTATGATTTTTTTTTTTTAATTTTTAGCATAGTGACTCAATCAGATTTAATGATTCATTTATTTACATACAGAATCAGATTTAAATTACTTGGTTACTTTAAAATTAAATTCAGTAAAGAGCTAATTTTCACTAAAGCCAATATGCATGAAAAATTAATAGCAAGAAGGAAAAAATTTCTAAAATATTTATATAAAAGTTGAGTTGAATAATTATTTAAAAGCTGAAGACATAAAATAATTTAGAAATATTATGTAATAAAATCAGTATCACTTGTCAGCTAATTTACATCCACATATCAAACATATCACTTTCTAAGAGTTTTAATCATTGCCAAAAAAAAAAAAAAAAAAGTAAAAGACATAACCATGATTTCATAAGATCAAAGTTAGACAACTCGTCAGCAACATATTCAATAAAAGCAATATGATGAATTTCACAAAACAAACCTCATATAAAAGAATTATAAGATTAGAGATGTATTTAGGACTGAAATATATAAAGTTTACACTGTGAGCTTCTTTTCAAAATATCTAAAACATTTTTATCAATGCAAAAAAGCTATATGAAAGTAAAATACCAATGTGAACAAAAAGAGAAAAATAGAGAATTTTTGTTAATTCCTTGGGATGACTTAATTTAATTCACTACAAAAAAAAACAAAAAAACAGTGAATAAATAGATCAATGGTTCAGTTTTGATCAGTCATCATTCAAAGCCATTTATGTCAAGTAATAACAAAAACTCAATTTCTCATATCATTAGAATTGTTCCCCATGCAAAAACTGAATAATCTCAGAGATTTAAAATTTGTTCAATACTTTTACAGTTTTACCTACAGCAATTGTTGTGGTTAATGATTTGGAGTATTGTCAAAAAGGTTAGTCTACATAATACTCTCTATTTACTGGATTGACCATTAATACAAATGAACAGGAAGTGTATTTTCCTTTTAATAAGAGACTAGTTAATGAAGAGAAAAAAAAAAAAAAAAAAAAAAAAAAAAAAAAAACAGGAGAATCTAGTTACATGATCAAATGAACTAAAATGCTAATACATCTCCACCCCTTAAATTAACGTAGGAGGAGCTAGCACATAAAATCAACATGAATTTAATGCATTGCTATATGTAACAATGTAAAATTAAATTGTAAGAAAATACTGTTTTAGCTTGTATTTCTGCTAAAACCTAACCCTGCTCTGGTTCAACTCAAATTATTAACTTACAGAAGTCTTGTCCCAATTATAAGAATCTTTTTATGTTAAATGTTCTGATCTTCAATTTATAACTACTCAGCATCATAGGTTCAGTGTTTATGGTGTTTTTATGGAATGGTTAGAGCAGTGTACAAATGGTATTCAACTATATTGATTAACCACCAAGAGGAAATTGTTGAGCAGGAAGAGGATTCATGCTGGCAAAAGTTTCCTGAATGGGTGTTCAGTTGTTATTTCAAGCATATGGAATATTTAGCAACCATCTCTTCAACATCTCTATTAATCCATATCCAGAAAGCAACTGTTAGATGAGTTTTTTCTAATCTTTGTTATGATATATGGAACTGCAACAACACATTAAGTTGCAGTAAAACAGGTATGGTGATTTTGTACCAATTTCAATTCTAGTATGGGAGTAAACAACTTGGACAACTGGAACAATCAACTGGCTATCCAGTCATTACTGTGTTGACAAGCTCTTTCAGAATAGTCTATGGTTCCCACCTTGATATTCTGTAGACACATCAGTGAAGCATTGAGCTGCATGTTCATCATGTGAAGGTTGAGATTGATATTTTCAATCTCTTTGCCCAGTCTCAGTAACACTGCTGACAATCAGTTGTTGGTGTGATGACTCACAAATGATAAGTTATAAATAAATGATAAATGGAAGCAAGGAATTGACAGCCCATCTTGAATAACATCCTCAAGCTGTATCAGTTTTGACATTGTATTACAAGTATTTCTTGTTAGGTAAAATACTGACATAGTAAGACAGCATTAATGAGATAGTACTTTAATATTTAAACATGTGTAATAGTAGAACTAGTAAGTATGTACATTTTTATAGTATAATAGAAAACATGCAGACAACTTGCAACTGATGACTTGGTGCAGTCATGTGATGCATTTAGGTGGAAAGGATTTGAAGCAGAAAGTAATCAGTAGATTTGTGATATCACGTCATGATAATTTGAACTATTTTCCCAGGGCAATACTGTAATGTCATAGCCATGAATCTAGCTATTCTTGGTAGTGTTTGTGCTAGATCCTTAAGTACAGTTGATTCTAATAGTTTGTGTTTACAGTTTCCTTCTCTGGCCCTCTAAAGGAATGCATTGAGTCTCTTGGTCATGATCATCACTATCTTCTTGGAAGCTCTAAACAATTGTGTCATCAGAGATGGAGAAAACATTCTTGATACCCCTTAAGTTCTCTAACACTAAATTTTTGGCATACTTTTCTCTCACTGGGAACATGTTAAATATATATCTTCCAAACTGGGCTATAAATGTTATCAATTTCCATGATTCTTTGTTTAATTTCATTTGCCAATTCACAACATGAGCCATTTTGTACCATATAATCTTAAGACATCTTTAAATGTTAGTCACATAACATAGCATTACTTTATTCAGGTAATATAGGCATAACCTGACTAATCTATTGATCTTTGTGAACTGAACAAATGAGTTAACCCATGTGGTTGCTTTGGTTAATGGAGTCACAATGCCCCGATTCATAAATGATTCTGGCTCAACACAACATTTATAGCCTAAGGCTACAAGGACTTACTGGGTTGAATGTACAACTGCAGTCATCAAACATGGGAAAATTTGTGAAGACTATCCTCTCACATTTTAGGGTCTGCTTTAAGTAGCAGTCTTGATGCTAGAATATTTTATTATATTGATCAGAACTGATGTCAGGTCATGACTGGTACAGACTAGCATTTTTGGGGATCCTCACTGAATAGATTGCTTGCTTTGATTGCAAAAGTTGAGTATCACAAAGCACTGCTTTCTAGAGGCTTAGAGTTGTTTGTAGGATTCATTCTTTAGTCAATGGTATGAAAGACTGTACTATCTCACTCCCAGAAGTCACAGAATCTACTAATATAAATAACCATATAGAGGCTTTCTCAAGTGGTATATACTTTTAATTGCTTGAATATGCTTAGAAGTAAGAAGTTGCTCATAGTCCTGATGTCAATATTGTGAGTGATTTCAATTTGGGCTATTCTTTGTCTATTTTCAGCTTTGCATAGGTCTCTATTTTGCCTGATGGTACACTGTGTCTGTTTTACCTCTCTCCAGAAATTGAATGAAATCAGAAATTCATTGTCTGACAATTTTTTTTTTAAGCTCAGGTAGATTTTTGTTAGCAGTGCTGAAAAAGTTGATGCCTGAACTCACAGAAATTCAACCATAACCTAACCTGTTTAATGTAATTCTGTATATCTTTTACTTACTCTTTTTGAAAAACAAATATGCCACATTTTTGGCCTTTTTTAACAGCCTAAATAACAAAGTAGTTTATTTTCACTTTAGCATTCACATCATAAAGTAGCTCATCAAAATAAAGTTTAAATTGCCATAAAAATTTGTTTCTTTATCTCATTTAGTACTGTATATATTTATTGATGATGGGACTAACAGGATGCCATAGTGAAAAAATGGAGAATTCAATGAGAAATGATAATAGTTTGTCTTAACTTGAATGTTCATAGCTGGCATGAGTTCTTTGAGTCTGTAAAGTGTAAAACAATGAAAAACTAAACTGTGATGTTCAACAGAAAGTACATTTTTCTTATTCTTCAAACTTGATTCCACAATCTGACACTGTGTTAGGGTATGAGGCTTGATTGAAGGCCTTGATTAATGACAAGAGTATGCTTACATTTTCCCCCCCACAATGGACAAGAAGCCTAAAAGAGTAAAAGGAGAATTTTTACCCTGTCAACTTCAACTTGAGAATAGTCAAGTTCAGTTTGAAATTTTTTTGTAAAAATACCCATTGGAAATCAAAAACATTTTATGTTAAATGGGGCCATGCAACAGGCTACCAACAAACACCATGAACCACTTTTGCTGGCTGGTAATCTAGATGTTCAGTGGCCAAGCATAACACATGGCGACACACAGTAGGCAGTGGTGCAAGTCCTTTTGTCAGCACATCAAATACACATACAAAATTATGAAGAAAATGGTGGATACAGCCAGCAGCAGCAGTGCCAAAGTGTGCCTAACCCCAGCTATCTAAACACTACTACCAAGCAACCAGGGGATGTCAAGCCAGCCACACTGCAGACAAAATGGGAACAGATGGTTTGTAGTAAAATTTAAAATTGAAAAGGTATAATTATGTATGCAAGTAAACTAATGCACAACTGTTTTTAAAATGTTTCTACTCTTAAGAGATATCAATTAAATAGGATATAGTACATGAATTGCAAATTCATCAAACTTATTATAATAACCAAAACCGAAAATATAAATCTTTCATTTGTAAAATTAGTAAAACAGCAGCAACACAACTTACCCAGCTTCATAATGCAGAACAATGGCACGTGGGGAATCCAGATTTTGCCAGAACAAAACTTTACGCATTGTGCCATCTAAGTTAGCAACTTCTATTCTGTTGTTTCCATTTTCAGTCCAATAAATTTTCTTCCCAATATAATCAACAGCTAAACCATCAGTTGTATCTAGGCCATGTGAAATGACATCTTCAACTTGGGATCCATCAAGGTTAGACCTTTGGATTTTATCAACAACAGTATCAGACCAGTATATCATACCTATAATGAGAAATGAAATCATAAAGAGAAGCAATGAAAATGATCCTATAAAAAAGGCTAATAAATAAAATACTTTAAAATCACTCATTATCACAAGATTAGCAAAAGTTTCATTAGTTAAAGCCAACCGAATATGTTGCTGACTTGAGTGAAAGAACCTTTTAATAATTGTATGAAATTGTTGGAGATGGGATCATTTTGCAATGTGAAACAATAGAAAATTTCTAAGTTGATATTTTTATGAAATTGTAAAATCCAGTTTAAAATGTTTTGTTAGATATTCATACACTTTAATTATTACATTATTTCAACTTCTAAATTTTTAGTTAAACTCATAAAAGGAAACAAAACTGTTTATGAAGATAAGATCATTTTTTAAATTAATCAATACAGTACAAAATTTCATATTGCCAGAGTTTCTGAAAGGAATCTCCTAAATGTTTTGATAGTGAAAATTTAGAAGTTAAGGTAAAATAAAATCAAATACTAAAAGGAGAGAAAAATGTAATTTTGGAATTATAAATAAAAGTTAAACATAAAACAAAGAGAATTGAATTTGAGAATATGTCAGTTTTGTGGTGGAAAAGAATTTTTTAATGTCTCAGTTATAAAATATAAAATTTTACCATGGAAGTGACCAGAACAAGATAATGATTACTATAAATGTCTACCATATAACCCAAGCATAATCCTACCAAAATATATATAGCAGAATCGAGTTAACTTTTGTAGCTCATTCACAAATTGAATTTAAGTTTGAAACTAGTTACATTTTAAAAGATTTCAGCTTGGAAAGAGTTAAATTTGATGAAGCCTTAACTCAAACTCTGAGAATTCACTGATTAATAGCAATTAGAATAAGATGTAAATGTTTATAAATAAATCAATGTTACACATTGTTTTCCACTTTCACATTCTACTCCAACTTCAGATATCAGTTTCATATGTGAGCAATGCTATATATGAACAAGACAATGAAATTAATAAATACTTTGCTATTCAAAGCAGAATGCTCATCTTGGCTGTTATATTTACATTGTATCCTCTGGCCCTCTTCAGGGACCTAGTGTAATTTGGTAAACTTCTTGGAATTTTGAACTGAATCCTTCATCAATCCATACAGATAGATTGTTCTCATTCCACTCACCAATCTTATTAACTTTTGTGTCACTTGTCCATTTCTTCCACTGAACAAGAATATACAACTTTTCAGAAGTACCAGATCCAGGGACTGAACATATATATATATATATATATATATATATATATATATATATATATATAGATATTACACACACACACACATTTTTTTAATTGCTTCAAAGTTATTTTGTTAACTGAAGTGCAATCAAAATTTTGCTTTGACAGTTTAATATGCAAAAAATCAGTTGAATATTGGTAGGGTGGTAATACTGCCTATAAATCAGTTTGTTTTCAAACAATTTAAATACCAGATAGGCTTGACATAAGATCTATGTTCTATTCAACCATCAAGGCACAAAGATATTTGCTCATTTCCCACTTTGACATCCAAACAATAACCAAACAAGATTTGAAAATATTTTTCAGTATATGATTTTGTACAAAAATAGTCAATAAAATTAGTGATATAAAATTAATAAAAATAAATAAATTGGCAATTGCCTTTATTAGTGCAATGATTCTTATTGATATCTTGAGTTCATAATTTTCTTAGCCTAGCATTAGCTACAAAAAAAGAAATCACAACTTTATATAAAAAAAATAAATATTTAATTAATACTTAACTTAAGTGAAAGAAGTATGGTTGATATTTGCTAACTAAATCCTTTATATTTCATTTTATTGTAATCATAAACAATAGATCTTTCACTAACAAAAAAAACCTTGTTTATCACACCATGGTTCAATTAAATATGAAGTAGAAAAAGATTAATAATGAACTGATCTTATTCCTTCAGTATAGATAAAGTTCCGAAATATTTTTATTCTGACTAAGTTCTAGGTATTCACCTTTATTAAAATTTACTTTGCTTTCATCATCATACTTTAATGGCAATAGCTTCTCCTACTAACTTCTGTTTCAAATATATTTATATTAAATAGGATCTCTATCCATGTTTAGGTTGATAATATCAACTTGTAATTATATAAAGATGGCTGCTATATTTTTCCAAATGAATGAAAATAACATAGGAAACTTGTCTGAAGCCTTTCAAATGTGCCTCTTTAGTTTTTCATGAAATGAATGACATTTCATACATGCTATGAGCATTTTTTTTTCTTTGAGGATGTAATTTAATTTCATAAAGCTTTATGAATATATCAACTATCTTTCTTCTTTTTAAATATTGACATGCATATATTTTTCAACAAATAAAATCCCATCAGGTTTGTTTGATAAACAACAAGTACTGCAAAAATACTTGGTGGATATAGTTGTAAACCTACCATATGTTAGTTTTGGACCATTTAGAAAATACCAATAGTAACCCCTTTTCACCACTCCCACAAATTTGAAAAAAGATTTTCATGAGCCAGTGTAAAATTATTTTCTTACTAATAAAAACGTATTCAAAAAGATCACACCTCTATGTGAGATTAGATTTTGAATCCCCTTATGGATATAAAAATATATATTGAACACCATTTCTCAGAGTTCAAAACAATTTCTGAGGCCTGTTTGATCTATACATGTGTATGCATGCATGTGCATACATACACAATGAAGAGATGACAGCCAGCAACAACTGACTAAGGCTTTGTCTACGAATCACAAACACATTAAGCTGTCATAAAGTAAATCTATCAGCACATCTCACAGCACACTGCAGACACTTAATTACTTGATAAAACAAACTTCACTGCAAGAACAATTCAACATTTTCTTGTTATTATATATTTCTGAAAGGAATCTATAAATGTTATTTCAACTGATGTTCTGCTTTTACTTTTCCTCCAGAAAATTACCTTTTATGTGTTTCATTTAAAAGATATGTTGTTCTTAAATGTTTGGAATCCTAACATTCAGATAGTGATAAAACTCTGGGTAGACCAATACCCAACAGAGATGCATGCTGTAGTTTTATGTTTAAATCTGAGTTTGCATTATAATATAAATAAGAAATGCTTTGTGGTAGGTAATTTCATTAGATAACATTTTCTCCATTTTATTAAAAATTATCTTATAAAACGCAGATTGTGTGTGTGTGTGTGTGTGTCTGTAACGTTTATATATTGGATCGAATTTCCTACATTTTTTAGCCGATTTCAACAAAACTTCACAGGACAACATAAAATTACCTTGTGGTGGTTCTAACGGCGCCGAAAATGGTAAAAACACAATTGTTTTTTAACAAAATCAATTTGAAAACACGATTAAGTAAGACACATCATGAGAATGAAAGGGGGACAACTCACATCGGGTTAAAAAACCCAGGTTGTTTGTGTGTGTGTGTGTGTGTGTGTGTGTTCCTTTATATATGGGATCGGATTTCTTACATTTTTCAGCCGATAAAACAAACATCCACTTTTTTTTTTGGCAGGTAGTGTTTCTTATTGTCTTGCCCACTTTTTTCTTTATTTTTAACATTCAGAATGCTTTAAAAATTCCATTTACAAGACAATTATTTATAATAAAATTCAATCGGGAGACTCATAACGATTGAAAACAATGTTTTTTTTTGAGTTTGGGTTTGACCACCAGAAAAAAAAAAAAAAACTAAGACATGCGTGTCCGTCAACCTAAACAATAATCTAACGATCTCTACTGATTGTACAAATCGAAAATCGGATAATTCTTTATCTTTAGGGAAAGATAATTCCACGTATTTTAGGGCCGTTTTTTACAATTCCCTTTGCAATTTGTTACAAGGCAGATCAATAAGGCATTGGTTCTATTTGAAATTAATTCAATATTTAAAAGAAAGTATTAAGAAATAATTTAAAAAAGCCAATGTAAGCAATCTGATAGACAAAAAACAATATTTCGAAGATGATAATTATTAAGGAAAGAACACAGTACTTGTAATAAATTAATAAACCCAAATAAAGTTAATATTTTTTGTATTAGAAATGAGTGGAAAATATATTCAAATCAGAATTCTAATTATGAATCACCACAAGCAAAATATGCAATTTTTTTTACTGTATTCAATAAGTAAAAATCATAAATTGTAAAACTAAAAGATTACAGAAAGGCTACCTACATTTTTTCAACCGATTTCAACAAAACTTCAGTTTTTTTTTTGGCAGGTAGTGTTTCTTATTGTCTTGCACATTTTTTTTCTTTTTTTTACATTCAGAATGCTTTTAAAAATTCCATTTACAAGACAATTGTTTATAATAAAATTCTATTCATCAATCGATAGACTCATAACGATTGTAAAACAATATTTTTGTTTGAGTTTGGGTTTGACCAATTCGTAAAAAAACAAAACAAAAAACTAATTAAGACATGCATGTCCGTCAACCTTAAACAATAATCTTTGTCAATTTTATTTTTCAGTCTTTATGATGGTCGATACTTGATCTATCTCTTACTGTTATATCCCCGGGCAACGCCGGGCTCTACTGCTAGTATTGAATAACTACCAGATAAAAGTTGGGTCATTGTAAGTGATGTAGACCAAATGTTAAGTGAGCTGATTGGTATAATTGTCCCTTACTGAGGTCAAGAAGGTCAACTTGTATAGTTAACTTTCATTTAAATAATAAGATAGATTTAAAGATCAGGTTAATTTGTACACCACAATTCAGAATATTTAAAGAATTGCTTAGTCAGGGAATGTTTTGTTAAATAAATCCTTCTTAAGGAATACCAGTCTTGTCAGTTCATTTCAGTTTATTTGGTGAAACAAATTCAACAGTATGGATAAACACTTGAAACTGGAACGTCATCAAGTAAGAATTTTAACCACTGGTTTCAAAGCTTCTCGTCATTCCTACGCAAAATTATTGACCCTAACATCCATACCGACTTAGATAAACTCGATACCCTGATAAATTGTAATTCCTCAGAT